TTTATTTTACAGCTTTCTCCTTGATGCCAGTGATCATGGTGACTATCACAATAGGAGTGGGCAGAATCAAACTGCCATCTTTATACTTGTAAGATACATGCTCTCATTGAGCTACACTCCTTTAACCTAGAGTGGGAGGTTATATGGGCAAAAGTTCCCATTTAAAAAAACAACAAATTCAGTTGGTCAACAAAAATTAAAGAGATGCAGAAAATTTATGAAAATGATTATACAAAACAAACACTATTTTACAACTTTCCTCTTAACATCAGAGCCCAATGCAATTTCAGGGCCACCAACCCTGCTCTGAATTGTGACCTCCTGTGCTTGAAACAAGTTGCAGATTCTTGTTGCTTTGATGGATCTGGATGTTTATGCACACCTAATATCACAACTCTTCAAAATACAACTTGGTCACAGAGCCATCCTTACCTTAGAGTCAGAATCATTGCAGGCAATTTTCAACCAGCATGCTAGCAGCCTCCTCTGGTCTGGGTACAGTGAGAAAGATTAGTGAAAGTGTCAGACAATTGATGCAGTTTCAGTATATCCCAGGCTACTCCCCCCCCTGAAATTTAACAACATCATTGTATCATTAGAGCCACTACATAGTCGGATTAGCCTTAGTACACAAGGAATGTGTAAGAATGACTGTAAAGTGTTCAACATTTGCTAATTTCCTGATAATAAAAACATTGCATATTGAAATCTTTCTTTTGCAACAGTCAGTCATGCTGCCTAACATCTTGTAATTATATATGTATTTATATTAATATTGATACTGATTACCAATCATTCATTTATCATCATCAAGAATCTTATATTTTGCCCAGCAAGTTCTACTCTGCATTTTGATTCCAATTAAAATATTTATAAACTAAAAGGACACTACATTATTATTATATCAAGGCAAATAAAAAAAAGTACCTCTGTCATTAACGGGAGACTCATGTTTTGCCATCTTTGAAAAAATAAATTGTTTTTCCAAGAAAAAAAATCCATCAATTCGTGTCAACAAAAAAAACCATACGTGTTTGTCAATCAAATAAAAATTCATACATAGGCAGAAGTTTGTATGATTGGCTAATTTTCTGTAGATCATTTCTTAATCTTTGTAATTTAATTGGTTCAATTTTATTGGATAATATTAATAAATTCACTTAATTACGAAGTTACTACTGCCATTATTTTTCAATTATCATAATTCTTACTAGTTGAGTAACAATTATCTTATGAAGTAGCAAAATAATTAAAGATAATTTGAGTTCCTTTATTTGTTAGATTGTTTTTACACATAAAATAAAATACAATAGATGTTATATAGCCCAATCAACAAAAACACTTATAATAGTAATCAAACAAAAAACAAAAAAAACTATAGCTGAAGAAATTGCCGTATTGTATCATTTCATGAGGCTAAAATGTCATCTGCAGATTCTTTAATGTCATCATTATCACCTTCAAGAATAGAATCGGGATCTTCACCTTCAGCATTATTATTGATATAAACTTCTAGAAGTGATTGAACATGTTTATCAACACCACCCTTAATAAAATCTAAGTCTAAGCAATGCAAGCACTTGAACCAATCTTGGTTAAACCACGTGTTATGACATGCATGGCCACATGGCAATACCTGTCCTGTTTCTTCGGTGATTATAGTTTTAGTAATAAAATAAGGATACCGGCTACAACTTTTGATGATGGTTGCAACCACCTTTACGACCATTTTGTTTTCTTTTTTGGGTTGCGATATGGAACACTACAATAAAACAATTAGAAGAATCACAACCATACAAACTTGGCTTATGCAAAGAGCTATACCTTAAAGGTAGATGACAAAGCCATGCTTCCTTCATCTTCATTGCTGGAATAGGAATACTGTTTTCTGCGTTAGCACTTCCTTCTTACTCCTTTTTAATGGGTGTCTCATAGAAACCTGTGGCGCAATTAAAAATTGAATTTTCCTATGATTAATATGAGTGCAGATATCAGTAAAACAATCTAGATGCAGTTTTTCATGTCAAAGTTTCAATATTCTGAGAAAACTGCCCAAGGTGAAGTGTGAACAAAGTTTTCCCTAAAGTCATCATCATTAAATCGATAATATCCGTGACTATCCCTACTGCTTGTGAAAAAAGTTAAATTATTATTATCTTTAATAGAAGTTTCTGTATAAATTTATGGCTCATTATGATGGGGTATTCTAATGCATGTTGCTGAAATTTGATTGCACTTCTTGTTACAATTCCATTATAACAGTTTAAACAAATTGTATCCCTGGTTGAACATAACTTGGAAAAGTTTTATTAGTTTGACCTTTGGAAATAACATGTTCAGTTACCTTTCTCTAACCCTAAAGATGATGAAGAATGATCATTATTGCTTTTTTGTTTAACACTTTCTAACATACAAACAGTAT